TCAAATGTGCTCCGTCAACTATAATAACTGGGCGCATGCAAGTAATAAACGAACGAATCTACAAAATAATATACACAAGAAATATAATCATTTAAATGTGAAATGCATGTAACTAACAAAAATGAGTCAACAAAATTATATTGATTTACTAACCGTAGCACCAATGGCGATAAACAGCAACTCAAAGCGTCCATCTCTATCTGTTTTGATATGAGTTACCGACCCAGGATTTTTCAGCTTTAAATTGTGACAATAAGCCGGCAGTTGGGCAAACGATGCTTCTGGCGACCCCCTCAACAATTCCAAGGCATAACATTTGGCTCTCCAAGCTTGAGAATATGATATACTAATCTTGAACCGAGCATTCATGTCAGTCATAATTTCATATCCCCGATATACCCTGCCATTCAAAAACATTAACTCAGCCAGAAAACCACCCAACACCTTTTTGTTTGCCTGTCTATGGTGAGGAAAAACTTGGGTTCTTGAACATGTATGTTTATCAATAAAAGTCCTAACTTGAAACATTTCGCAATCTTTTATTCTCTTTGCAATCATTCGCCACATACAGTTTTTGTCAATCATACACCTTGTTTCGAAACGATCTTTGCTTGATTTGTTAACATTTAGTTGATAGCCATCTTCCACACATTTCGTATACAAAGCTATCTTCAAGTCTTCCTTTGTATCAAAACAATCATCTTTCTTGATACGAATAACTTTTGTGTAACAATCAACTGCTTTCTTTACCAACTCTTCTTCCGGTATCTGAAGTAATTCTGGCATATTCCAGTTATACGCCCGTGGCATTTTCTTTTCTTCGGGGATTTTTTTCTTCTTTTTCTTCTTCAGGATTATATGAATTACAGAATGGATGTTCAACATGTTCATTCACAGTCGTAACTTCCTCCTCATTATCATCAACAATACATTCTTCGGCAACGGCTGTTTCATCATCAAAATTCGGGTATTGACCAATATCAAAATCATTACACGCAGGGTCTGTTTCTTCTTCTGAAACATCATCAAAATCCGTGTATTGACCAATATCAAAGTCCGGATATTGACCAAGACCAAATTTCGAATACTGACTAGTACTCACAATTTTTTCTGTTGGCTCATCATCGTCTAACTGGTCAATACGAAAACCGGAATTTGGTGCTGAAAGTTGATTGGGATTTGGATTAGAGAAAGGTTGTGGGTTTTGAGAAAAACTTAGTTGATTACTACCCGCTACTGACCCAACAATACTACTTCTAGGTTCAACAACATACAATGTAACATCATCTTGTGAAACACTAATGTAAGCAATGAATCGTTCAACATCTTCATTGTCGGTTAACAAATAAACTTTACCATTTCTCTGATAAGATAGCCTAAATCCACTTAGGGGCTCTAAATTCAATTTATTTGAAACACGTAGCATTAGAGTTTCATAAGTTAACTTTGTAAAGACAATTTTAGTTGAAGATTCATGGGTAAAGGCATATATTGTAAAACACCATGAACATTATCCCATGACCCTCCAAAACACAAATCTATCCAAACATGATCAACATTAGATGATTTCATGGTTGTAAATTAATTTACTAAACAGACGAGCTGCGAAACTAAAACCTGTTGCCGGATTGGGAAGGATGTCGTTGGATATAGGAACGGATGTCACCGGAGAGAGTGATAGATGGAGATGGAATGAGTTGCGATTTAGGGATTTAGTTTATGATTTCAGTGTTATATACCCAAAATTTCAGTGTTGTGATTTACAGATTCTCGTTGCGATTTACGGATTATCGTTGCGATTTACAGATTCTCGTTGCGATTTATGGATTATCGTTGCGATTTACAGATTCTCGTTGCGATTTACGGATTATCGTTGCGATTTACGGATACGCGTTGCGATATACGGATACGCATTGCGATTTACGGATACGCGTTGCGATATACGGATACACGTTGCGATTTACGGATAGGCGTTGCGATTTATGTGTTCGCGTTGCGATTTTCATATTCGCGTTGCGATTTTGGAAAATCGCAATGCGAATTTGTACTATCGCATTGCGATTTTCAAGAATCGCGTTGCGATTTTGGAAACTGATTTGCGATTCTGGGGATCGCGTTGCGATTTTTATTTCGCGTTGCGATTTTGTTGGTCATTTTGGCAAATCCAAAAAAAGTTGGTTAAAATCATATATTATAACTTTTTTTTGGTCACTGAGGCGATTTTCTCTAAATATTATAACTTTTAAATGCATTTTTTAAAAACAAAAGAAAACGTGAAGAGATAATAAAAAGAAATAAGTCAAGTTTAGTCAAATTAATTCACTAAGACTGAATTATCAAAATATATATAGAAAAAATAAGAAAGATCTCTGTCTATAATGTTTTCTAAAGAAAAATATTAATGAGTACTTAATCTTATTTAGTTAAGATAATTTATAATATTTTTTCAACTTGGTGAAAATAATCTTTAAACTAAAAATATTAATCAGTATTTATAGACACGTGTTAACCGTGTTCTTCAGTAAATATTAATTTATGCTCAAATTTTTGCCCAAATTTTGTGTTGACATAAAATAAAAAGAGAGTGAAATTTACAGTTATTTTCTTTATTTATGATGTCATTGTCGGTTGAAATTTTGAGTCCTTTTTCACTTGATTACTTGCGTAGTTATTAGACTTCAAAAAAGTTTTAGAACAATAAAGATTTGGTTTTGATTCCTTTTAGAACAATAAAGTGAGGGAAAAAAAGTATTTTCTGTCCGAAAACATAAGCATTTCTATTTTCACTCAAGATCAAAATGCGTCCACTAATGTAGGGCAGAATCTATATGAATAAGTGGCAAGTTATATCTCATCTTCTATATTATATTTGTTATAAAAGAAATGGCCAATCGTTATCCACGTGACGAACACTTGATCCAGAATGATTCTGGTATTAGAAGTATATTATAGGGGCTCCTGACATCTTGCCCCTTTCTCCTCCTTCTGCTTTGGACTAAAACGAGACAAAGCTTAAGGTTAAGCTTCCTAAAAAAATATTTTAAAAAACGTAAGTAGTATTTTAAAAAATTACCCCGATAATAAATTATTTTGTGAACGGGGTGACCGTTCGATCGAGTCGAGTAAAAAAAGTTATTCGAGTTGATGAATGATATTTTACGATTCGAACTTAACTTGAAATTTTTTTCGAGTCGAATTGAGTTTTCTGTAGTAATTTTATTATAATTGTTTTATAGAATTATGATAATGATTGGTTCTAATTTTTCAAATTTCTCTAACCATATAAGATATACATATTTAATTTCTTTTCGCATTATAATTATATTTATAATATCAAATACAACCTAAAATTATAAAAATATATTCATAATATAATATTTTAAAGAAAATATTTTGAGGGTAAAATATTGATGAAGCATAGATGAGTTGAGAAAATGATAGGAATAAAGAATTTACAAACAATTACAGTCAAAAGACCAAATTGAGTCAAATGCAAACTTAATGGACTAAATAAAAAAAAGTACATTTTTAGTAAAAAAATAGGGTAAACTATACTATTGACCGTCTAACTATTTAGCCTTTTTACTTTTGCCATTGATCTTTCAATTTTGTCAATCAGACCACCTAACTATTTGATTGTTGTCAATTAATACACTAACCTTTAACAGTTGACAGAAGTGCTGACGTGGTTGTTAAAAAATTAACATAATTATACATTTAGTCTTTAATATTTATACATTATCTCAGTTTGGTCCTAAATATTATAAAATATTTATTTTAAAATATAAAAAAAGAAATTATAAAAATAATTTCTTTTACTTCTACTTTCTTTTACCATTGACAAGCTTTTAAAGTATAAATACAATTTTTTTTGTAAGATATAAACCAGTGGGAACTTTTGGTGTAGTGGTTGGGGCGCTTTGCATTTACTCTATGGACTTTGGTTTGATACCCTTTAGGTGTAATTTCATATCCCTTTATTTTCAATCCAATCAGGAGGTGACATGTATTGACACGTGTTATAATCATGTGCTGACACGTGTTATAATCATGTGCTGACACATGTATAATTTATTAAATTATATATACAATTTTTTTTGTAAGATATAATGTATTGACACGTGTTAGATCCTGATTAAATGGTTAATTTATTAAATTAAATTTAAATTAGGAACAAATTGACAGAATATATATTCATTAAAAACTAAATGTATAATTATGTCAATTCTTTTAGCTACCACATCGGCATTTCCGTAAACTGTTAACGGATAGTGATTTAATTGACAACAATTAAATAGTTAGGTGGTTTGATTGACAAAATTCAAAGATCAGTGGTAAAAGTAAAATGGTTAAATTGTTAGGTGGTCAATGTTATAGTATACCCAAAAAATAATAATTAAAGTTATATAGCTATTCTATAGTGGTATATGAATGTGAGCGTGTGGTTTAAATTTGGTAAAAATTGAACTTAAAATAAAAGATAAATTGAAGAAATAAGAAAATTATGAAAGATTGAGGGACTAAATTGAAAAATAAAAAAACTTGTTATTAAAAAAGGAGTTGAAAATACTTACGTATTCTATGATGGTTCTTGAGCATGTGGTTCAAATTTAGTAAAAATAGACTCAAAATGAAAGAGGAATTGGAAAAATAATAAAATCAAGGATTAAATTGTAAAATTATCAAAAATACTTAGTCAAATTTTTTATTTTTCAAATAACACAAAATTTCCAAATTTTAACTCGAATTGAACTCAAAAACCGATAATTCAAATTAACTCAAATAACTCAAAATTAAAAAAAAAATAAATCTTTCGAGTTAAAGAATCCTTCTCTAATGTTAAGCTTCCTAATGCTGTTGGGTTTGATTCCTTGTCAAGAAATATTGGGGGCCATGAATAGTCTTTCTCATAGATTAGTCTCCAACCGGATTATATATTCTTTGTAACAATATATGATGTATTTGTCGCATTCAAAATTACCAAGTCTTTTGCAAAAACACAAAGCTAAGCTGGCAGCGCATTTGATTGAAATTAGCATGTAAACTTTACAATGCAATCGTGTATATCCATCCTTCAACATTTCCTGATAAATAAATAACAAAAACCATCTGATATTCTTCCTCCCGTTACTATTGCATTTTCAACTTCTTATCTTCTAGTCCCACCTAAAACATTCTTATAATTTCCAAGTTGAGCCAACTAATAGCCTATAAAATCTAACCGAAAACCAAAAGATTTTCATTGTAAGCCCAGTTTCTGAAACTTCATTGCTTCACTGCTGCACACAGCCCCATACCCGGGGATTACTTGCATATATAACATGCACAAAAACAGATACGTAAGAGAGCATCTGAAGTCCTTGTAAAAAAATACCAAAATCACCTCAATTTTGAGGTCAAATGAAATTAGTGATCACCTGCGGATGACCGATCACGTTTCATCATCATCTCATGAAAACTGAGCACTGGGGAACGTTCACGTCCTGAACCACTATCAAACCTGTCAGGGCTACGACTCCGGCTGCGATTTTGTCCCTTATCATAACCATCATGGAAACCACCATCATTCCTGTTGACACACAAGGGTTGGGAAACCGTATATCTTATATCTGAATATTGCCAAGAAGCATATTGCAATAACTGATATAAAATCAGAAAAGAGAACGACATACCTGTCACCAGACTCGTGACCATACCCATGCCCTCCACTTCTTTCATGCCAACTAGAGAATGTAGAAGTTCCTCGACCACCCCTTCCACCATCCCTACCACCACAACCTGAATCAGTGCATCCACCACATCCTCCATCATGGCCACCAGAACTTGGAGCCCAACGTCTAGGCCTTCCCATGCCACCACCACGTGAAGCCATTTCATGAAGTTCTGCAGGCACCTTCTGGTTTGCTCCCTCTAGAATTTTGATGAGATCTGAAGCATGCTTTGAATCCTGGTCACCAAAGAATGTAAACGCCAATCCAGTTGCACCTGCCCTTCCAGTCCTCCCAATCCTATGAACATAATCCTCAATTCCAGTAGGGAAGTCATAGTTGATTACCACCCTGTGAAAGATGAGAATAAATGCAATCGGTATCATGATATACTCACAGACAGAAATGATGGTAAAGTCACCAAGAAAACTCTTAAAACCAAGTGTTTCCTGAATTTATCAGCTTTGGCTTCCTAGAGCTATAGAAGCATAAAGCCATGGAACCATGCAGCAGAAATTCCAACCCCCACCTGATGTCCTTTACATCCAGTCCCCGAGCAGCTACATCAGTTGCAACAAGCACTGGTGTCCTCCCAGATCGGAACTGACCAAGCACATAGTCCCTGTCAGCCTGAGATTTGTCACCATGGATAGCAGCAGCTCCAAACCGACTGAGGTTGCGAGCAAGTTGATCACACATCCTCTTGGTTGAACAAAAAATAATTATCTTGGATCCTGGTTCTTGGGAGCGTAGTATCTGCTCAAGTCTTTTGTGTTTTACCATTGGTGATAATACTTCGACATGCTGCAGGAAATCAGAGTGGCAAAAACTACTAAAGAACTCAGATAATCTTGCTTTAAATAAAGAAGGATTAGCGGTAACGGAATTCAAACCTGCGTAATAGACTTGTTTGCCACAAGTTCATCAATATTGCCAATGTTGACCTGAACAGGATTTACCAGTAGGTCTGCCGCAATTTTCCGAACTTCCTTTGGCCATGTTGCTGTGTACATGAGCGTCTGCCTGCGGGTTGGCACTTCTTTCACAATCTTCCGTATCTGAGGTTCAAAACCCATGTCTAACATGCGATCAGCCTCATCTAACACCAGGTAAGAAACTTGTTGGAGGCTGATTTTCCGCATCTCGAGAATATCATTTAACCGGCCAGGAGTAGCAACCACAATATCAATTCCTTTCTCAACCTCTCTCAACTGAGGACCTTTGGGTGCCCCTCCATACAAACACTGCATGGAAACATATGATAACTCAAAGATAATTGGAGCATCCTAGAAATAAATATATAAATGATTATTGTGGAAACTCAAAGATAATAGAGAAACGACAAAAGAAATGAACAAATTAAAATCTGGACTCAAATAATGTGACGTACTGTGCAACTAATTCTTGACGAATTGCCAAACTTGTGAGCTTCATCTTGTATCTGAGTAGCCAGCTCCCTGGTAGGTGATAATACCAACACAGTTGGACCCATTTGAGGATTCTTACGATACTGCTTGATATGCATAAATCCAGGCATAAGGTAACCCAATGTTTTCCCGGAACCAGTTTTTGCAATGGCCACTATGTCTCTTCCTTGCAAAGCAATTGGCCATGATTGAGCCTGAATTGGAGTTGGAGCAGAAAATCCAGCATTGTGTACCTATCAAAACAAAACAAAAAAAGGAAAAAAGAAATCCAGCAACTTCCATGAGGAGAAGCAATAGCCTCAAGACTTATTATTTCATTTAAAAGTTATCTGGGAGTAGCTTATGTCAGAAGAAACATTATCTCCCACATGCGGCCACTGCTTGCTGATGCAAACTGGAATAGAAGGAAGCCTCTGCCTCCAATTGGACCGAGTGGGAGACTGAAATAGCATCTAGGTCAGCCCTAACCATGGAGTTAAGTCATTCAGTAAGCACTTCCCAAATATTTGTCCATCATATAAGAGCACTCCAACTTATAAGCATGCCCCCCTCACAGAGGGCACCACAGTGTACGATATTAGCTCCTCCAAGGAGTAAATATCGCACCTGCGACAAAAAGTAAAGATGGCAAAAGAATTAGCATGAGTCTGATGCTCAGACATTGGGACCTCATCAATGAAAAACTTTGCACGAGAAAAAAATCAACTTGCACAGCTCAGCTAACTTACAAGATTCAACTTTAAGTCCAATGTTATTACTACCAAAAGATAAAGGAGGAGAATAGTTGACCTCTCTAAGTATCTCAGAAGGTAATCCAGTAGATTCAAATGATGAAAAAGGCATGGGCACTTCATCTCCCTAACAAGATTTAAGAAAACAATTGAGTCAAGTGACATCAATGTCCTAAGCAAAATGAGATTTTCAGAAGCCAAAGTGACAAAAAAAAAACCTTAAAAAAAACAAAGAAATTTATAAACTATTTGTAATTATAACCTAAATACTCACGGTTACTGTTATCTCATGCTGACGGCGATAAGCATCACCAGACAAATTTCTTCCACCAGTCACGGATCCTTGCCCCTTTGCAGAAGGTCCTCCAATTACAGAGCTGGAAGTCACATTAGGTGTATTATGGGAATGAACTGGTCCACTTCTAGCATTCTATTGCAAAATTAAGAACGTTGAAAACGTTAGATAGGAGAATAACCGTATGCAACTATCATAGATTCCCACTTCAGATGCTTGAGGTTATGTGACAGAAAAATCCAAGCTTTAGGAATTTTGATAATCCGATAAAATAAATAACAAGTACATTGGATGAGGACATGAATCCAAGGCTCAAAATCCAAATGACAAGCTTAACAGTTCAGCCACCAGAGTTCAGAACGAAAATTTACATACTTCAGTTCTTAACAAGAGAAATGTACAGTACTATATTTCAACTTCACCTAAGATGGACAAGAAAAGCCAGATCAATCAAGCACCTGATTTAGGGGGCAGAAAGTAGATAAAATACCTGGTTTGATATGGCTTCACTGTCCATTTCATCCCGATCATTTTCCTTGCCAAGATTATAACCATGACATCCTTCAGAAGACTGTTGAACTTGAACTGAAGAACTTACAGGTGTAACAGAAGGTTTTGGGACAGAATCACCACTTGTAGGCCTTTCATATTGTGTGACATTTGTTACAGGATTCCAAAAGTAAAGATAACCAGTTTTACCATCAACTAGGCCTTTCCATGGTTTGGGTAGAGTGGGATCAGGTGGAGCATAACGGGGACCAGAAGAGGCAGTCACAGTGGAAGCCATAGCAAGAAAAGCAGCCAACAAAAATCTGCAAGCCCCAAAAAATTGAATAAGGCACAAATAAGAAACTACTAAAACAACAATAAACACAAACATAGGGCAACCAAAACCACGAGTTCGGTTTGAATTGTGATAATCTTTTAATCTTTAATCACTCATCATTTTTGCTTTGTACCACTCTCTTTTGCACTTTGAATTATTTCCGGGGAAGCAAATGACAAATATCAAGATATAGGTAGCATAAGGAGCAAATAAAGGAAGCAAGAAAATAACTTATAAACCAAACCAAATAATACAAAATAGAATCTAAGCAACATTATTGCCTTTTTCTCCAACCAAAAATAATCTTAGAAATTAAATGCGTAAGTTTGAAATTTGTAAATACATATATAAAAAATGCCCTTAAAATCCTAAAACAAAGCTCAAGAAATCTTCAAAACTTCAAAACGAATACGGGGATGTAACTGCATTTTACCAATAAACATTCAAACCGTAACCCTAACCCAAACACTGACGTAACCAGCATGCAATGTAGCAAGCACAGAGTGGATATCTTCGATAACTATAACTCAGGACACTAGAAATCAAGCCTTTTATCATTTTCTTAGACATAAACCTAAAACAACGAAAAATGGATCTGGAAGACTAACGAGAGATATTCATGGAAATGGAAGTACCAGAAAGTGTCGTATCGAGGAAGACGAAGCGAGAATCGCTGCGACTGTTGGGGTATTTTCGAGGTTTTTTTTTTTTTTGGCTCCCTCTATTTCCCTCTCGTTTGCCTGCTGTGTGCTTTACAAATTACGAAGAGAAATAGAATTGGGAAAGACGGGGAGACGTGGAAAATCAGAATATATTTATATAGAATTTTAAGGGTAAATTACACCAAATAACTCTCAATTTTACTGTTTGCGTCTATTTTAGAACTAAATTTATATATTTAGCTTTAATTAGGGTATTAAATCGCCAAATCGTTGACCACATTATAATGTCATGGTATTCTTCTCCGTAAACTTTATTTTTTGTATTGAATTTTAAAATATTTTCTTCTTGGGCAGTAAATTTTAGTTTGTATATCCTTTTAGTTATTGTACCTATTTCGATTTTCGTGGTCAAATGTCATCCATTATCGGTTACTATTCGTGGAAATGTCGATACTAAAATATTTACACTTTATTTCTTTTTGATTTTCCTAAAATAACTTTATACAAAATTCACTTAAAATCGATAAAAATTTATTTAAGAGTTTGATGTTTTAATACTTCAATGTCTTCGACGATATTATTTTTTAGGTATATTATTCTTCTTGAAAAAATATTTCTCACTATTCAAATTTTTGAACAAATATTTTTAAAGCCCCAAAAAGATGATTTTTTAATTTAATCTGGAGGATTTTAAAGATATTCGGAAAAAAAGCTAAACTATAAAATAATAAAAAACAACTAAACAAGTTCATTAGTATCTAGAATGACCCTAAAAGATGTTAAAAAGTGATTATTTTCTATCTCGAGTGAAAATAGGTGAAAATCGTAATTTTTTTGAAGGATATAATGAAGCGAAATAAGAAAAATTATTTTCACAAACATCAAACTATCATGTCATTTGATTGTTAATAAGTTAACTAAATTAAAACTTTTTAAAATTAAATACTAAAATCCATAAAAATTCTAAAATTAAATGGTATTTTGACTTATTAATATTATGTCAGCATTTAAACAATTTAAACATCACACTAATATATAGATAAATTATATTAACATTTTATGTGAATTTAGTTCACTAAAATCATATTGATTGTCTATATTCATAATTAATGTATGAAATAGTATTTTGTATATAAGCGGTGGATTTTTTAAATACCACGAACAACGTGTCAACACATAACAAATATCTAATTTTATCTATATGAACTAAGTAATTTTGATAATTAAAAAATTGTTATTATCTCTATAGTTTTGAATTCGAACCTCATATATATAAAAATATAAATATTAAATATTAAATAATTAAAAATATTTAAATAAATACTACCTTATATTCATCCAAAATTATAAAAATCTGGTTGCATTTTTTTTAATTTTACTGCCAATAAATAAAATAATCTTATATATATAACCTAAATGCTATATTATAATCTGTTAGGCCCAAAATATTAAAATTGATGGGCTTGAATAACAAATAAAGCCTTTTAAAAGATCAAAACGACAAGTATTTTGGCATTGGAAATGGGAAAACTTTGGGCGGACTTTTTTTTATTTTAGGTGATATTTTTACTGAATTACCAAAGTGAATTCAGATTCTGAAATTAAAATCTTTGAATGTTTTTTTTAATATATATATATATATTAAATGTTATTACATGAATTAATTAAGTGAAAAATGAGTTTTATATAATCATATACCCAACAATTAATTTCATAATATATAGATAATACATTTGCGTATACGTGTAACTAAAAAATCGGAACTAAAAAATTAAAGATAATAAAATTTATGAAAAAAGGTCGAAAATTCATCGTGTCATGACAGAAAATCACTTGAAAGATCTGATCCCTGCTTCCTTCTATTGAAAGCAGAGCCACAAAACAAGTCAAAGACAAACCATAATATGATAGCACATATGTTTAGAGATCCAATCAAGTTTTCTAAAGTGAGTAGCCATAGATATGAAGATTGCATCATGTGAGATGTGGTCGAAGCTTGTCTATTTTTTCAAGACATAATTATTGACCTCCCCTAAAAAAAGTCATGAAACTCTTCTAAGTGATTTAGATGTCGTTCTAACAAAGGATGATGTCTCTATTAGTAGTAATGATATGATACTGAAGGAAAAAATTTCAGACAGAGTTCACAGGTCTATTGATGATAAACTAGCTAACTCAGTAGTGATATGCCTCCTCGAAAAAACCATCAGATATAATGAGTTACTTTGAAGAATCAAATCACTTTGGAATCTCATGGGGGATTATGTTAATTGATCTTGATAATGAGTATCTTCTAATTAATACTAATTATTGAGGAAGATTATTCCAAAGCATTTCTTGGCTGACCTTGGATGATTTACGGTAACTACCTTACACTCTAACCATAGAGTAAGAATTTTTCTATGACAGAAGATCACCCCTCACAGATTCTAGTTTGGGCTTGGCTTCCAGGACTTTCTTACCAGTATTATACAAAGAGTCTTTTTTGTGTAAGTTTTGGAATGGTCGAAAAAGTAATTAAGGTGAATTACAACACAATGTAAATAAAGAGAGAAAAAACTACTGGATTTGTTGAAAGTTCAAAGTTTGGCACGAATGGTGCATGGTTCAAAGTTTAGCAGTTTTTGTTGAAAAATGGTAAAGGGAAAATTATAAATTTAGTCCATGTACTTTAAGATATTTATAAGATTAGTCCTTAAGCTTCAACTATAAAAACCCTAACCCATTTAGCTTCAAAATCATCCCAAATTATTTCTTTCTCCCAATACTAAAGAGTTTAGAGGGTTTTCTTGTGAGTTGTGAGTGTTTTGTAAACACCTGTAAATTTTCTCTTTAGTAAAAGATCTGCAGCAGTCTAGAGACGTAGGCATAATTCGCAGAACTCCGTTATCAATTTCAGGTATTATATTTCCGCTTTTATTTCGCATTCTCACTAATCTAGTTATAGGGAAATTACTCGTTTAATTTCCCAACAACTGGTATCAAGAGCTTTTTGGTGGTGAATTTATTTCTGTTTTTCTACGAGGTTACTTTCACGTGAATAATGAATTTTGTGAATAGTAAAATTTGGTCAGTGATACGAATATTTCGACGGAGGTGTTCTAATACACAGTGGTTCGCGAGAATTATTAGAAACTATCCAAAAGAAGCCAGATTCGAGTGGGAGTGATGGCTGCAGACGAAGGGAATGTGAAAATTGAGAAGTTCGATGGTGCGGACTTTGGCTTTTTGAAGATGCAGATTGAAGATTTTTTGTACGAGAGAAATCTATGTCAACCTCTCTCAGGAAAACAACCAGAGGGCATGAATGATGAAAACTAGGCTCTTCTCGACAGACAAGCCCTCGGAGTTATCCGACTGACGTTATCCCGCAATGTTGCTTTCAACATAGCAAAGGAAAAGACCATGGTGGGTCTTATGGCAGCTCTCTGCAGTATGTATGAGAAGCCATCGGCCTCAAATAAAGTTCACTTGATGAGGCGATTATTCAATTTGTGGATGGCGGAAGGGGCATTAGTGGCTCAACATCTAAATGAACTCAACACAATCACAACCCAGTTGAGTTATGTGGAAATTGAATTCGATGATGAAGTTCGAGCTTTAATTCTCTTATCATCTCTACCAGACAGTTCGAATGCTACTGTTACAGCAGTCAGCAGCTCATCGCAAAACAGTAAATTGAAATTCGATGATGTTCGAGATCTGATATTGAGTGAAGAAATTCGACGGATAGAATCGGGTGAAGCATCAAGCTCCTCAACCTTGCACACAGAGTCTAGAGGGAGAACTTCAGAAAGAAATCCAAATCGTGACAGATCAAAATCTAGAAGGGGAAAATCAAGAATAGGAAATAAAGATTTTAACTGTTATACTTGCGGCAAGAAGAGTCACTTTAAAAGAGATTGTCGAGCACCAAAGAAAGATACCAGCGCACAGGAATCTGCCAACGTGATAGAGGAAACAGGTGATGCCATGATTCTAAGCGTCAACAGTCCAATTGAATATGGATCTTGGATTCAAGGGCATCTTTCCACTCCACCCCATGCCAAGAAATCATGGAGAACTATGTCAGTGGTGATTTTAGAAATGTTTATCTAGCTGATGATGAAACCTTGAATATCGTAGGAAAATGAGACATCCGATTAAAGTTGTCAAACCAGACCACCTGGACGCTGAAAGAAGTGAAACATATTCCTGGCCTCAAAAGAAATTTGATTTCTGTAGGATAGCTTGATGGAAAAGGATATAATACAACTTTTTCAGGCTGTGAATGGAAGATTACCAAAGGAGCACTCGTCATTGCTCGTGGTAAGAAGATTGGTACTCTCTATGTAACCTCAAACTTAGAAAATATCATTGCAGTAGCAGATGCTGATGGAAAATAAAACCTATGGCACCAAAGGCTTGGCCATATTAGTGAGAAAGGGATGAAGACACTTTTGTCAAAAGGGAAATTGCCGGATCTAAAGAGTATAGATGTCGGACTATGTGAAGATTGCATCTTTGTCAAACAAAAGAAAGTCAGTTTTACAAAGATTGGCAAGACACCCAAGGCTGAAAAGTTAGAGTTGGTTCATACTGATGTATGGGGACCATCTCCAGTTCCATCTCTTGTAGGCTTACTATATTATGTCACCTTCATCGATGATTCTACAAGGAAGGTGTGAGTTTATTTTCTGAAGAAGAAATCAGAAGTCTTTGATACCTTCAGAAAATGGAATGTCATGGTGGAAAATAAGACTGATTTGAAAGTCAAGCGGTTGAGGTTTGATAATGGAGGAAAGTAAAGAAATATTAAATTCAGAGAATTTTGCTCAAACAATGGGATCAAGATGGAGACAACAATTCCCATGACACCGCAAATAGAATGGTGCAGCAGAATGACGTAGCAGAGCGCATGAATAGAACTCTGAATGAATGTGCCAGAAGCATGAGGATACATGTCAGCTTGCCCAAATTGCTATGGATGAAGCTATCAACACTGCAGCTTACCTGATCAACCATGGACCCTTAGTTCCCTTGGATGGTGGAATACCATAGGAAGTTTGGAGCAAGAAAGAAATAAAGCTTTCACACTTAAGAGTGTTTGGTTGTATTTCTTATGTATACATAAATTCTGCTGAAAGAAGTAAACTTGATGCTAAGTCCAATAAATATGTCTTTGTTGGTTATGGTGATGATGAGTTCGGTTACCGTTTTGGGACTATGAAAATCGAAAGATCGTCATAAGCAGAGATGCCATTTTCAATGAAAATGTGATGTACAAAGACATGTCAACCATAGAATCAAGTAGCTCCAATACTGAAGCTGAAATAAAGGAATTTGCTGAGTTCGAGGAGATTTCTGGAAATGATGTTCAGATCAGTCCTTAGCAGTTCAAGAAGAACCAGGCACACCAGAACTGAGACGCTCCTCCAGAATTCCTAAACCAACCCAGCGTTATTCGCCTTCTTTGCACTACTTGTTGCTGACTGACAATGGTGAACCAGAGTGTTATGATGAAGCAATGCAGGTGGAGGATTCAGTCAAGTGGGAGTCTTCCATGAAAGATGAGATGGACTCGCTTATGTTAAATCAGACGTGGGAATTAGCTGAATTACCACCAGGCAAGAAAGCGTTCCATAACAAATGGGTTTACAGGATCAAAGAAGAGCACGATGGAGCAAACGCTACAAAGTAAGATTGGCTATCAAAGGTTTTCAGCAAAAAGAAGGTATTGACTACAATGAAATTTCTCTCCAGTCGTGAAATTATCTACAATCAGACTGGTGTTAAAATTGTAGTTGCAGAGAATCTACATCTTAAGCAGTTAGATGTAAAGACAACTTTCCTTCATGGTGATTTGGAGGAATAAATTATATGAGGCAGCCAGAAGGTTTCATAGAGGCAGACAAGAAAAACCTGGTATGAAGGTTGAAGAAGAGCTTGTATGGTTTAAAACAAGCTCCTAGATAGTGGTACAAGAAGTTCGATAGCTTCATGGGTAGCAGTGGTTTTACCAGATGCCAAGATGATCATTATTGCTATATCAAGAAGTTCGACAACATCTTCATTGTTTTATTGTTGTACGTTGATGACATGCTCGTTACAGGCTCAGACATGCAAGAGGTTATAAACTTGAAGCAAAAATTGTCGAAGCAGTTTGCAATGAAAGATCTGGCCGCTGCAAAACAGATTCTTGGGATAAGGATTAAGAGAGACACAAAGTCGGGGACTTTGATGTTATCACTGGCTGAGTACATCAACAAAGTACTCTACAGGTTCAACATGCAATATGCTAAACCAGTAAGTACACCTTTAGGTGTTCATTTTAGACTCTCCAAAGAACAGTCACCAAAGACGGAGGAAGAACGTGCACACATAGTAAAGGTGTCGTATGCCTCAACAATTAGAAGTCTAATGTATGCCATGGTTTGTTCTAGACCAGATATTGCTCAAGCAGTGGGAGTTGTTAGTAAGTACATGAATAATCCGGGTAAGGTACACTGGAAAGCAGCCAAATAGATCCTCATATGTTCCATATGACCATGATAATGACAATGTGAGCATATTTTCATTATTGAACTAAATGAATTATTTAAAATGATTTCTTTTTCTTTTGTTAAGCATTCAATCTTAACTTTTAAATCAAAATTTTCTTTTTCAAAACTTTCAATTTTTATTTTTGAAAGCTCTAAATCATTTGTTCAAAATTTCATTTTGGCTTTCAAAATCTATTTTTATTTTCAAAAGAAAATCGTTTTCGATTTTAAATTTTGAAATTATTTTATTATATTTGGAGTTCATGGTCTTAAACTCCTAATATAACCTATTAAAAGCATCTTGTAACTCATCAAACGTATATGAATTAAATTCATTTGAGTTAGAAGATACCTCGGGCTCTTCACGAGCCATTAGAGACACCACATTTGTCGGGTCTTCTTTCTTGTTTCCATGGATTTCCTCAAGCTTATTCCAAAGCTTCTTGGCACTTGAACACGAAGAAACTCCTTCATAGATTTTAAGACCAAATGCACACAATATCATGTGCATTGCCTTGACATTAAGTTGAGCTTTCTTCCGTTCTTTGTCACTCCACTTCTCCTTCTTCTTTAGAAAAGAGTAGTCGTTCTCGATTATCTCTCATGCATCAAGATCATTGGATTGGATGAATACCTTCATTAATTTCTTCCAATGATTATAGTTGGCTCAATTGAAGTATGGAGGCTTGTCATTTGGTAGAGAGTCTTCCATGTGGAATGAGCTGGAGGTGGAAGCCATCTTCTCGGTTGTGTCGGGAATTGGTAGAGCGTCTTCTAGGATCGTCTCAAAGTGGTTAAACCTTCTTAATGAGTTAGGCTCTGATACCCATTATTGGGATTTTCGAAAGCTCGAATCGACAACCGAAATGGTTTGCAAAGAGGAGTCGGAACGGTTTTGTGTTTAGGGAGTAAGGAGATTGAAAGATAGGGAATTGCACAGTGATTTATAGTGGTTCGACTTTCTCAACCAAAGTCTACGTCAACTAACTTAGCTTCTCACCAAGGATTTTCCAACAAATTCACTAATTTGTTCTTTCTTTTGAGGACAAAGAGATAACCTTACAACTCCCTAGTTTTTCTGGGCTGAACTAGAACATTTCCCCTTTACAAAAGGATAAGAAATGTAAACAAGAAAACCTCTCTAAGATAGGTTTTTACAAGAATTAAGCTCACAAGAACAAAATATTTACAAGAGAAAGATGAAATAAGAATGAAAAACTCTTCTCTTGTGTTTGATTGCTTGAATAGTTGTTCTCTTTCTTCTTCAAGTGTCCTTAGCTTGTATTTATAGCTTGGAATGTGTTTGAAGTCGTATATAGCCGTTGGAGATGTTTTGGAGCCGTTTAGGGATGAGAATCAATTAATAAAACAACTTGGAGCGTGGGGGGAATCGATACCCCCTCATAGGGAATCGATTCCTGCAGTGTAAAATTCAAATATTTCGACCGTTACACAGGGGGAAATCGGTACCCCCTGGGGGGGAATCGGTACCCTCTGGACATTTTGTTTTCTCTCAGAGCCAAAAACCTAGGGGGAATCGGTACCCCTTGGGGGGAATCTGTTCCCGGGGAATCGGTACCCCCTGGGGGGAATTTGTTCCCGGGGAATCGATACCCCCTGGGAGGAATCTGTTCCCTCTGGCAATCTAGTTTTTCTTGAAGCTCTTTAAAAAGAAAATATTTTTGGCTCGATTAAGGCTCGAAATACTTTGGAAAATTTGTTTAAAAAGATATTTTAAGATTAAAACATAATTTTACACTTGAGTAAGGATTGAAATTGACATTTGAAAAACTTGGAGTAATATTTTGATATTCGAATAATTTAATCGAGTATATACTTTAAAATTCAATATAAAATCTTAAAATTCACTAACACTTAATTTGTTATATCTAAACATCAAAATATTTTCAACATAGTTGGATGAACAAAAATAAATGAATAAAAGAATAAAAGAAAATATAAATATATTAACGGATTATCATCAATTTAAAAGTTTAATCTCAACTATTAAATTCAATTAATCTAACTATCTAAAAGGTCTAAAATTTCAAAAAATTTATTGTATAAATGAATCTTAAGTATATATATTGTTTTTGTTGCAATGCAATTTGATTTGATATTATGTATAAGTAATTAATTTTCTTACATAACTTGTTTAATTATTTCCAACTGAGGGGAAAATTAAGTTAATTATATATAATTACATAATGTTTACTCATTTTTCAATTATTTTAGCTAATTTTTTTTTGTTTATTTTATTTTTGCATGCTTTACTTATTCTCTATAGACTTCTCAAAAATATCCGCCCTTAAAATTATTTTTAATTTACTATATTTTTAATCTCAATTTATGTAACTTATATTATTTATAAATATAAAAATCAACTATTATTATATCTAATAATAATCAATAAATATGTATAGCTTAATAAAAAAATGATTACATACGTGAAGAAAAATATCACATGCATATGTATGAGATAAAAAAGAAATAATATAATAATATAATATAATATGTGGCGAGTGGCGCCATGCATGCAAAAGTATTTAACCATGCATCCATGCCTTCGTTACCATGAACACTATAATTAGGTTAAAAGCTGTTCTATTTGGCTTAAAATATCAAGAATTACCAAGGAAAATCTTCTCAAATTTTCTTTATAAAATCCCCATATCTACCTTCTTTTTCTTTCACATTCTCTCCCTCTCTTTTCATCATCTTTTTTTTCTAAAATAATTTTTATTTTCTGTTATCTCTCAATACTCTTGCTATCCTTCTCTTTGATCAAAAAGAAAAAAAATGGCAAAACAACCATGCAAATCTCAAGAAGTTGAAGTGAGAAAAGGTCCATGGACCATGGAAGAAGATTTGATTCTCATCAACCATATTGCCAACCATGGTGAAGGTGTTTGGAATTCTCTTGCCAAAGCTGCGGGTAAATCATCATCATCGTACATGTTTCATGGTTATCTAAATGAAAAAAAAAACATTTGCAGTTTTATTTGATTGGAGATTCACACTAGTGATGCTTTGATTTTGATATATGATAAACTTTTTGTAGGGTTTAAACGTACAGGGAACAGTTGTCGACTCCGATGGCTAAACTATCTCCGACCGGATGTTCCGAGAGGCAATATCACTCCGGAAGAACAATTCTTGATCATGGATCTGCATGCTAAGTGGGGAAACATGTTAACATTCTACATACTACGATTAGTATTGCAGACATAAATATTTACATTCTTCATATAGAATAAATGATAAATGTGAATCATATTTACGATTCTAAATTTTTCAAAAGAAAGAAAGAAAGAAATACAAAGAACAAACTCTTCACTCTTCATTTGTGATATGATGACTTCATTGCCTTGAACTTGAGAAGCCAAAAAGTGCACTTCTCCATGGCCTATATACTTGTTCATCCAATCCAAAACTGCCCACTTTTTGCACTTTTCTTTTTATCTCCTGAGGATTTAGCATGTGGGTTTGGATTATTTCAAGCCACCAAATTGATTCACAAACACATGCCAACTTTCATCTCCTCAACATTTGTGGACGTCAAAATTCATTCTTTATTTTTCAATTTCCCATTGGTTCTTGATTTCTCCATGGCTACCGAAATTCCTTGATAATTCTTTTTCTTGAATTTTGTTGACATATTTATGAACGTGTTAATACCATACATGTGGAAATTAAACTGCAAGAAATTGGGCCTACCCACCGTAGTTTTTACATGGGAGATCTCCATATTAAGCAAAAAAGTGCTCTTTTGTGATCTCTTCCTTTCCAATGATTTGCAACTAACAATTAAAAGTCCAACTAGTTCCCCTTACTCTCTTTCCTACGTATTTATTAGAGTGTAAATTTTGGTTTTCATTTTCAAAATGTTATTATTTTTACCTATATGTTGTAAACAACATTTATTATACTAATATTATGGATTAAAATATAATAAAGAAAGAAACTTGTAACGACATGGAAACATTGTACGGACAGCAACAACAAATGATGGTCAATTCGTCATCGAACCATGAAGATAACTATTGGAACATGGAGGATATCTGATCCATGCAAATAATCAATGGTGATTAAATACATATTTAAATCGGTATTGGTACAAATTAACCGGGTTTAATTTGGATGATTAATGGTACTTAGGGTTGTCTATATATCAGGTTAAGAATTGAACTATTAAATGCTTGATCGTGTACTTGATATGCTTAATAAATGATTTTTTTATTAGTTTCATTCAAGCTTTATTATCTAATTGTGGCATTTTCTATTTGAAACGGACAAAAGATGTTATATTTTTGTAGAAATAAACGTTTCTTTTTCATTTTTACAAAATGGTGAACCCAAAAATAACTTCTAAAGCATTCTCTTGTTTCAATTGTTATGGAGATTCTATTTATTATTATTATTACTCCTATTATAATTATCCAAATTTACTTGATAAAAATCTTATCCATAGTGGTGAATAATTTATATTTTAATCTACTATTAGTCACATGTTCCGTTCTTAAGGAGTGACTTTTAATTTTCTATATAAAAGAACAAAAATGAAAATGCCATTAAAATAATATATGTTTCGTTCCGAGGCTGAAATAACATCCTTTTGTTGCTTTTACAAATATTTAAAAGAAATGTATTTTTTATATTCATGTTGAGAGGTCACGAGTTCGATTCTCGGAACGCTCCCGATGTTTTTGCCTCTTATGCTTTCTTTGTCGACAACAGTTGTTACACTTTATATTCACTATACACTCCCCATTTCCTTTCAACCTTATCCGAATCCTCTCCCATCTCCTCTCCATCCAAACAGAGGAAAAGAAGATAAAAATGGCTTCCTCAAAGCTCTCAACTCTTTCTCTCCGTCCCCCTTCTTATCCGCCACCTACTGCTACTACTACTTCCTCTCTCCTTCCCAAAACCCCTTCTCTCCAATTCCCTCTCCGTTCCGCCGCCCCTTCTAACCTCGCCCACCGCACCACCTTTCTCCGTCCTCTCAACGCCACCGCAGCTCCCGAAAAGATCGAAAAACTCGCCACCGAAATCTCCAACCTAACCCTCGAAGAAGCTCGGACCCTTGTTGACTACCTCCAGGAGAAACTCGGTGTTTCCGCCGCTGCATTCGCCCCTGCTGCCGTCGCGGTTGCCGCCCCTGATGCAGGCGGTGATGGAGCGGCCGTTGTGGAGGAGAAGACGGAGTTCGATGTTGTGATTGAGGAGGTTCCCAGCAATGCGAGGATTGCGGTGATTAAAGCGGTTAGGGTTCTGACGAGTTTGGCGTTGAAAGAAGCGAAGGAGCTGATTGAAGGGTTGCCCAAGAAGTTCAAGGAAGGGGTTTCGAAAGAGGAGGCTGATGATGCCAAGAAACAGCTTGAAGAAGCTGGAGCTAAAGTTTCTATTGCGTAGAATATGTACTTTCGAGGGTCATCTTGTTTTGCCTCTATGCTGTTTGTTAAAAATGCTCAATTGAATTCCTCCTTTACGGATGAACTTGGTTAAATGAGATTTCATGGTCTGTCTATGCTGTTTGTTAAAATGCTCAATTGAATTCAAATGTTATGTTTACTTATGAATGAATCTGTTGAAGAATGAAAGATTACCCCCAATCTCTTTACACCTTTTGACAAAGTATTCCAGCAAATGAAGACCTCTTGCATGGTCCCTGGACTCCATGGTCTTGAAACACTCGGGAGAGGTATATATTTTGTCAATGTCGCCGCTACCTGTTGGAAAAGAACATATCGAAAGAATAAACCATCACTTCAATTACCTATCATTACTCATTGGCTGATTCTAAAAATTCAAGAAACAATCGGCAATTCATTCCAAAATTTCTATATTGAATAAAAATCTTTTGACCTTCTATGGGAGTTCATTCCAAACAGATTATTTTCTTCGCAACCAAACGAAGCATACAATATATGCTACTCCCATGGGAGTTCATAGTTTCAGACCCGAAGCTTAAACATGCCAAGCTTATACATGCTATTGCTATATTTTGAACTCGTTTCTGCAACTCTATCAAGCCAATTTTTCTGTAAAGATTCAAGTAACGATCGGTATTTTATTCCAACATGCATTTGCATGCTTTTAACATCAGTGCATAGAAACGTTGGTTTTTCTTTTTATTAGTGGTCAAACAATTTATTTTCTTTGCAACCAAACAACCTAACAAAAGACTCAAGCAACGATCAATCAAACCTAGCATCCGCCATTCATAAATCATAACCCCGTAAATCAGAAAATCAAAGTGATTTCGACAAATTCAAGCATACAAACACGAAAAACATTATCACATAGTCTAAAAAACCCTAATACAATCACGCACTTACAGAAAGCTTGATCAGATGGAACATGGAGGAGGAGAAGCTCAAAATCAGAAACGTTGAATCGAATGATCTTTTGAATAGCCCATTTAAAAGCTCCTAAGCTACTCATGCAAGCGTAAGGGTAACCAAACATGGTTTACACGTCCAGTGCCAACATTATCCGAGTCACATTTGCCTCGCTTCTTGTCTCCATCTTTTCTACTTCCTACTCACTGAGTAACTACTGGGCACTCGATTTCTGTTTGTCTCTCTAAGCTTTTCTTGGAACTGGCTAGCTTTTCAAGACTCAAATGAAAAAGGGCTCAGCGAGGTAGAGGTTAAAACGTGGGGAGCGCGCAATTTACATAAATATTAAGCACGGATTGCTATTGTGCGCTTTGGCAGTTATAATAACCGGTGGGTTTTCCCGCAAAATGGCGGGCCGTATTTCTGGCCCAAAAAAATATCATCCTTTTAGAAGTTATATATTCCAATAATTACGTTTATAGAGTATGTTATCAATTAATTAAAATAATTATAAATAAATGTTATTTTATACAATTTAAAAAAAATCCTTCTAAAATGAAATTATTGTCTAGACTTTTGAGATTTATCCTCAATATTTTATATCCTAGACTAGAACTTTGCTTACAAATACAAGTCTTGCCTAGGCCAATATGATTATATATATTTTTTCCAAAATAATAGATAAAAAGGAAAAGCAAAAAATTATTTACTTTTTAGAAAATAAACTTCCACTAGAAACAAATAAAATAACCATATAAGACCTGAAATAAAATATAATAAAAAAGTAACCTACAAATCAATGTACAAAGCCTACTTCTCTAAAAAAATCAGTAGATGATAAAGAAAAATCAGTAAAATCAACGCCACTAAACGGTAAAATCGGCACAAAAAATTCACGTTTTAACGTTATTATTATTTTTTTAGTATAATTATCGATATTTATCTATTAATCGATTAATTCTGATTGTGTACTATAAAGACTCATTATAAGGCAGGAGTGGATGTATACGACTCTTATAGGGGTCAACTGTATACCCATTATTTTGGGAAAATTATTAAATTTAGTTTAATTTGATAAGGGAAAAGAAAAAAAAAGGAAATTTGAATATGCATATTTTCTAAAATAAAAGTAATAAAATTTTAAACCCATTTTTTAATTTCTAGATCCACCACTGTTATAAGGGCGATTTTTCAACTCATTTTTTTCATTGACAAGATTCAAAGCTCTTACCTTATTTAAGAAATTTAATACCTCATCATATTATCAAAATATTTGACTGAAATTCTAAATGATTAATAAAATTGAACCCATAAAGTCGCTTTAGTGGTTAAAGAGATTGTTGTTCTGCCTAGACATTCTGAATTTGAACAACTGCAGAAAAATTCTGAACGAATATTACCTTATAATCAAATCAACTCATATTATTGAAAAAATTTAATAAAATTATCAATAAAAAACGAACCACATCATCGTTGTATGAAAATTGTCTTGTTGGGCTAATGAAATAGTAAAGCTCTTTCGGCCCTCAAAATTAAAATATTTGGGCCCTTTTTAGCTTTCCCTGGTATTAATCTCAACAGCTGCTGACCCCAAGAGGCCCATAAATGAAGCTATAAATATCCAACAATTCTCACGGTCTAAGACAGAAAACCCTAAATCTTAAAAGCCGCCATGAGCTCCTTTCCACCGTTCTTCATTCTTTGATTAATTTCGTCAAGTCTTTTTCCCCCCTTTCTGCTAATTGGTAAGAGGGCGAAGATGAAGGGTGCTTTATATTTTCTGACACCTCTTGTATGAGAAAATCTTTTCTCAGAGCATTTTCGTTGAGCAGAGATAACAACTCTCTGAGCCCTTCAAATATCATGCTTTCAATTCATCAGCCCGTTTTGAACTTTAACATTATACTTCGATTAGGTGAAAAAAATGTGTTATTTCGAGTTCTACCTGTTCAAATTTGAACTTCAATCCAAGCAGCTAGCTAAGGATAATCAATAAAATACTAGTCAAATTGTATTTTGATTTTATTTCAATATTTTCTTCTCAACCCTTGCACAAAAGTATACGTGTTCAATTGTTTTTTTAAGTCCGAAGAGCGAATATTGCAATAAACACAGTGTAACAACATAGAGTTAATAAATTACAAGTACATTGAGATTCAAGCAATGGGATCTAAATCTGCAAGTAGAGCTTAAAACTCAATCTTGGCCATGAATATAGTACACTAGAAATCACACTAAAAAAGAAACACTTCCATGCCTCAAAGCCTTACGAACCCAGGCACTGAAGACAAAATAATCCGGCAGCTTCATATATAGAAAATCATCACCCCATACTTAACTCTCTTGCCATCTCTCTTGGTTGTCCGTTGATGCATTTAATTGTTTCTCTAACTGCAAGGTGATTACGGGAAGTAAAATGAATTTGGTTTCCAGTAGGTAGACAAAAATGGAATATCTATTGCAACCGAAACAACAAGAGCGAGTTCGTTCACAAACCAGCATGTTTTCCGATTTCTGTCGCTGCAATTCCTCAGAAAGGTTCCCAATACTAAAAACCGAAATACAGTCAGTAAAACGGGCATGAAGAAAGAAAATCCGCAGTCTTAGCTTTCACTTCGTACCTCTGTTGTAGCTGAAGCACTTGTGATTGCAGCTCTTTCTCCCTTGCAGAAGGTGGTGGTATCTGCACATACAATTAATCAATAAATAATCAGGTAATTACATCATGGGACATTAACCTTACGAAAGCACTTAAGGGTTCGCCGGAGTGAGAAGCACAGGTTTGATTGATTACCTGTGAAAGGTCATTCGAGCCCACCTCGGCCGATTTCCCAAACTTGCCTTTAAGTAAGAGAAGTTAAATCTAACATCATAATTTCTTTCATGATTAAGCAGACAGAAAATGCAGACATCAAAATACAGTGGCATTACCAGATGTTTGCTCCAAATACTTGATCAGTCTAATGATCTCTTCCTGAAGGCAAAACCAACACCAATATAAACACATTTAAGAACAGCAATCTCTATTTGAAGGAATTGAGACAAGACATACTAAAAGAAACATACTCTTTGCACGGTATTTTGTTGCAAGATACTTTGTAGGGATGGCAGAAATAAACTAGCTGTCGTGTTTAGAGATGTTGGGCTGGTTAAGCCTCCGGTAGCAGCGTTAAAACTGAAGTTTGATGGTCCCTATATGAGAGAAAACAATGACACTAGTTATAAAGCCATTTGCCTAAAAGATAAGTTGCAAAGTTCCATGCTTAATATTCATCTTCAACAAAAATTACAGTTTAAAATTATATAACTTGCATCGACAAGCACATGAAATGCACTTATACGAGTCAAACCATACTAGAAGAAACAAAAGTCGGTAGAGGAATTGTTAAGGACATTGCTCTTTAGCAGAATTATTAGATATGATATTAAAGTCAATGGCATAGGATGTATTAATGCAGCATGCTACATGATGCCTAACAAATTGAGACCAACTGTGCTGCTGATTAATACCGACAATGTAAATCAATTCCAAACGGTGCTGTACATGTTATTGTGCAACAGCAGAAGGTTGTACCTTAGGACTGAGATTAGCTGAAGTCACCTTAAAGCGTCCCCGTTGAACAACTGGTCCCTCCAATGCATCCTCTGATACATAAGAAGCAGGAAAGATCAAATTAAGTTCATTAGACTGCAAATAAGTAGCATCACTTCTAAGTAGAAACGGAATAAAATAAAACCAGGAAATACCAGATGAGGTCTTATTTGTTTCTCTCCTCTGGAGGTACAACAATGGACCACCGTGGTTGCGTTCAGATTGAAATTTAGGCTGTTGGAAGTCCCTTCAGAACATTTTTTATAAACCAGAATTAATACAGATGACATAAAAATCTTCCCAGTAAATGGCAAATACAGTGCAACGATTTTCCTTTTAACTATAGAATAGCAGAATCGATGAGCCAAGTAAAGAAGAAAGTCCCATGTGCCCAACATCATACATATTGGGATCCTCTAGAAGAATAAATAAAAATATAAAACACCAATGAAGAAAGAAAGAAAATGCAATCTATAGAATTAAAAAACTCATCATATCTAGAGCTTTATAATGGGAAAAATATCTTTCTATGTGATAATTCAAAGGTTTTAAGCATTCTATCATGTTTGGTGGAAGTTTTGAGCCTCGGGATAAATTAGAACAAAGCTTACCTATCCCCATTTCCTGCAACATTTTTGAGAGGAAGGTTATCAGGTATCAGTGAACCGCTCCAAAACCTTTTATGCTGTGGAATCACCTGACGTGGTAAAGAGATGCTTTGCCGGGAATTCTCACCCTCGTATCTTCCAGCATCTTGGTCCAAAGCTCTTAATGAGTTTGTAATGAACTGTTCACTTTCTAATTGGGTAACACCTTTCTGATTTGGACTATTTGCACCCTCGTCATCTTCAACAACGTCAAAACAGCCTCTGCTCCAATCATAAAATATTTGCATAAATAAAGGAAAACTAAAATTACCGAAATCAATTTGAGTCTCAACCCCCTTTTTTCCTAGAAAAATGTAATTACTCTTAACATATACCATATTTTTTCTTAAAATATTTGCAGAAGATACTACAAAAAGATCAATTGAAAATTGATCGATTAAGCTTGTGATAGAGTACCACTTTCTATTTGAAAATTACAATATACATCCCTTGGGTGTGAAAAATGCTATTCAACTTATAATGTTGTAACAATGAATTGCTCGCAATAACAAGATCATGCAAGCATAAAAATGTCATACTTGAGTGCTTGAAGAGGTTTAATAGGAAATGAAGCAAGTGAACTCTCCAAATCATGAAGATGACTATGCCCTTCCTGAAACAAGTAAAAGGAGAGTTTAAATCTCGAAGCTCAAGTTTAATCAGAGAATCAAGGAAGGATTGAAGCACTGACAAATTAATCATACAGAAACCTTTATGTTACCTCCTGGCTAGTTGCAGCAATAGAATGACAAGCTGTTTCTGGGGACATCTTCTCTGGTGATAATCTGACTACATCATGCATGTCCCTTTGCTTCTTGCTCCCTTCTTGATCTTCTGCATTTAGGATATCATCATAATCATGAATCTGCATGTGAAACAGTCTGATATTGAGATCATGAAGCAGTTCTAAGACTACCTCCAGATAAATAAAAAAGGAGGAAAAGACATGGGAAATTTAAGCTACTTACAAGTGCAGCCTGACTTTTCAAGTCCTCTAAGTTGAAATTCCAGGCACTGATTCCTCTTATGTACTCTTGCTGCAAGGTGAAAGGAATTCGTATTCAAATTAATGCTTCAATAAATTATGGTCATTCTTTAGTCAAAGTAAAACTAGGTGCAACAGCTCCCTTAATCTTTAAGACTTGATATGAATGCGGAACTGACAGCAATTGGATTGGATCATGCAGAATATAAAGCCCTAAAATACTACTAGGTGCATAAAGGAAAGAACCTAGCACTATTGGTTTTTTTTTTGTGGAAAAAAATGTAAAAAACGTGTTCCATTACTCACCTGTGATAATTGCTCCTTGTCCTCGAAGAGAACCTTATTCTGGACAAGAAGATCAGCTTCTTTTGTCTGAACATAAAGACCAGATAATAATTCCAAATTAATTCCCAACCCTAAGCAGAGGTCACAAAGTTAAAGAAAAAGGGTAAGAAAGAGACCTTAAGCAACCTAAAACGTTCTCCCAATGGAGCAAGGTCATCGAGAATTGTACGAGCTAGATAACTGTAGGAGCGTGCATTTTTAAAGAAGCGATGCTTCAAAAGTTTCTCTGAAGTTGGACGTTTCTTCGGGTCCTTCGCCAGGCAGGTAGCTACCATCTCTTTGAAAGACTAGCGAAGCACATAACACTATCAGAATGTTACTATCAGATACTAACAAACTGATACCAATCAGTAAGACAAAATTGAATAGCACAGAGCCACAGACCTTTGAAAACTTCTTATCCCTTTCATAGTCCAGACCAGGTGGAGCATTTTGCAAGGTCATTAACAAAACCTGCAGCAAAAAGGGAGTAAACAATCAAACAAAGACCTAAAACATGAAGCTACAACAAAATACATGCAATAAACAACTGGTATAAGCATTAGAAAACTAAGAGATTTACTTTCATTGGTGGATACTTGGAAAACGGGGCATGGCCATGAGCTAGTTCAAGTGCTGTTATTCCAAAAGACCAGATGTCCGCTCTGTTTACAAGAAAGAATAAAAGGAAACAGAATGATTTAAAAGGTATTAGAAGAGAATAAAGAAAGTGGATTCAAAGAAAAGGTCTAGATCAGAAAAGCAATCATCTCACTTAAAATCATAACCGTGCAATTGCTGCATAACTTCTGGAGCCATCCTGATATAAAAGTAACAATGAGAAGACACAGTGAGAACTGGATTCCCATAATGGAAGCACCAATGAAAGCAAAATTCCATACAGTAGAGAGACGAAGGGAAACAAATACCAGCAAGGAGTTCCAACAAAAGTATTTCTAGAACGCTGTCTGTCCCCACTATCAAACATGCATGCTGATACCCCAAAGTCTGCCAACTTGATAGCACCATCAGTGTCAATTAAAATATTCCCAGCCTGCAAATAGAAGTTACAGAATTTAGATAAGGACAACTGAGAAAATCCCCAAAATGAGAAGGAAGAAAGAACAAGAACTAAATAACAAGCAGGACACAGTTGACATACGTAGCACAACTGGTACCATACTAGTTAAAGATATAAGAGAATATGTCTTATCAAACTACAGACTAATAGATCCAATAACAGCTACTATCAGTGTAAATCTTTGTCTATGGAGAGAAAAAGAAAATTTTCCCACATTTATCATATTTTAAATTACAAGCAGAAGTAAAAAAGAAAACATATGGGATAAAAACAAAATAAAAGGGAAGCACAGTTGTCTGTAAACAATTTATCGCGGCAAGAGAAACTTCTTTACTACCATTGAAAATGCTAGAGTATAATAAGATGGCGAGTAAGGTGAAAAGATCTGTTGGGAAAAATTGCGTTACGGTGATCATCCTCAATATTCCAGAGTTTCTTCATCATCAAGATCTTTGGCTAATATTCGATATTCTTTCATCCCTAACAAAAGAAGCAAGGGAGGGAGTAGGTTTGGCTTTGTTCGCTTCACCAGATTGGAGGACGCGAGGAAGGCTATCAACTGTGCTGATAGATCTAGGATTCAAGGTAATAAAGTTAGAGTTTTCATGGCGAGATTTCAACCTCGTGAAGCTTTCTGGAGAAAGAAGTTTTCTGATCCAAAACCAGCCGAGGACAAGAGTAAAGTGGAGGATGATAGTCATTCAGAGGCTCCCATTGTCGGTTTTGTTGACGAGGATAAGCTCCTAACTCTCAGAGATAGCTTGGTAGGTTGGTGCAGAAAATTTATAAAAATGAAAGAGTTGGCTGCTATTATGGACAAGGCATATTAGGTCCGAAAATTATGAGATTAAGCGGGTTAGCAATTTTAATCATATTTGTAGATGAAGAGAGTAGGGATTATACTCTAAATAATCAGATTGAGGCATTGAAAAACTGTTTTGACAAAGTGGAGTGGTCGGAAAATTTTCAGTGCAACAGCCGTCGGGCATGGCTTTCGTGCAAAGGGATCCCATCGTTTGTGTGGAGTCATTCCACCTTCAGAAATATTGCAGACAAATGGGGAGAACTTATCTCCATTGAGGAAGGAACCTTAAATCCGAGCTCGTTTGATAGGGCTTTGATTCAGATTATTACGAACTGCCAAGCTCGAGTGGAAGAAACAGTTGATTTGAAAGTCGGGGAATGGATCTTTACAATATATGTTTCTGAGTTTGATCCTTGTTTCAGTCCAGAATCTGTCTGGGTAGATTCGTCTTCGATGGATAAGGCAGTTGCCTCCCCGTTATCCATGGTGGGGGTGCTCGTTTGTGTCTCGCCAGTAAAGTCTCCTGAGATGGAGGCATGTGCTAAGGAAGCAGGAAGAAGCGTGGACTCATCGGAGGAGAAGAATTTCGAGAGGTGTTATGAGGAAGAAGACAGTCAATTATGTTGTATGAGGAACAAAACTAGAGGCATCAACTTGTCGGGTGAGGCCGAGGAGGAAAGGAACATAGGGGAGAAAATAATTATGGGTCTGAGGAATATTGTTGCTGGTCAGGGGAAGGTTCAAACGAAAATCGAGGAAGCGGTGGAACACGAGAATGTGCTGGATCACGCGGAGAGAGAGGCAGAAGATGACAACAGGAAAAGTTGTAAGGCTGTACGTGCTAATGAGGGAATGAAGGATTATTTAATATATTTGCCCATCTTGGATGGTAGATTAAAGTCAAAGGTGGTGGAGGATGTGATTAATATGGGCCTTACAAATAATTGTGCTATCAGAAGATCCAAGGGTGAGGAAGTCTAACAGGATGGGGCTGTGGTAGATCGGGTGGATGGAATAACCAAATCGGGGATAGTATGTGAGGATTTGGACTAGAGCCTTTGCTTGTCAACACAATTGAGGGACGATTTTTTCACGCACAATTCCAGGCAGAATCAGAGAGCAAAGGAGGAAAACAATAAATATAGCTCTCTCCAAACATTTCAAGAGAAATATTCGGCTCCCCAAAGGAAGACTAGTTACTGCCAAAGCAAGTATAATCAGAAGAAGGTGCAATGCGAGGAAGAATTGTCTGAACTTGAAGGCAGATCCCTATATGATTATGACTTTCCAGCATTGGGGAAAAGACAAAAGAAGGAAGCGAAAGAATCCTTACAGATCGGGAAAGAATTGGGTATAGAGTCTAAAGGCTCAGAAGTGGTTTTGATTTTAGAAAATTATGGCAGTGGAAGTATTGGAAGGTGTGTCACAATCCCTTTCTATTGATTTTTAGCTGTTTTCAGAGGAAGTAGGTAGAGATGAGGATCTTATCTTGGATCATACGAGGGATGGGCTCAAATGTTTTATTTTTCTTAACTAAGGAGGATTGTTGGATGTATAAGTGTGAAATTGTGTTGATTCAAGAAACAAAATGTAGTGAATAGTTTCAGGTGATTCGCTTATGATTATTGATATTGGAGTTGGAGGTTCAGATGGTCTCCGACGACAAGATGAACAATAAGGGGTAGAAAGGTGGATAGTGTGTTTTCGAAGCTTGCTTTTCTGTACTCTTATCATGTGGAAGCTCATGGCTTTTGTGTTAGAATTTGGCTTCTATGGATTGAGTCAGCTAATATATTTGGCTTCTATTATAGTTGTTTTGTTTTGTGGTGTCTTTCGGGCCAAGTTTAGGCTTTAAGTCTGGTCAGTCATAGTGGTGTTGTTTTCGGTTGTTTTTGGTGTTTTGTTTATGTTGGGGGTGGCTCTCTGGATGTATCTCGTAATTTCTTATGTTTAATGAAATCCTAAGGCACTCTTTTCCTTCTTCCGCTAATTAAGGAGCTTCTCTACAAGATCCTTTAATCAAGAAGAGGGTTTTTAACGATACTTTCAATTCCTATTAAAAAAACAAAATAAAGGGGAATTGGATACCTTCACATCCCTGTGAATGTGCCCATGGGCATGCAGATAAACAAGAGCTTTAAGAACTTCACGCAACACGGTTGAAATGAAAGGCTCTTCAAAACCTTCTGGATAATCAGATTTCATTATATGCAAGCAGGACCCCCCAGCCATGTACGGCATCACAATCCAAAGGTTATGGCCAGCAGTAAATGAGCAACGTGCCCATAGTACATTTGGATGATCAATCAAGCTCAAGGTCTGCACCTCTCTGCGAATACCATCCTGCATCACTCGTGAACAGAATGCATTCAGTATTTCAAATCATATGTTTTATGTTAACTTTTGATGTGGTGGTGGGGCTCATAAGATAAGTGTACAAGCAAACACAAGTACATGACTGTCGAGAAACAAATAACAAAATGCAATACTTACCAGATCATTGTTGCACTTCTCCAAATCAAGAACCTTGACAGCAACAATCTCATCAAGTGGAATGCATAAAGCCCTGTACACAGTGGCACTGACACCGTTTCCAACTTCTTCATATATCTTGTAGTCTTTTGCATTGACT